AAAAAAAAAAAAAAAAAAAAAAAAAAATTAAAGAACAATTTAGGCCCTGTGAGATGTGACCTTTGAAATGCTGCAAAAATCCAATGAAATTGCTGAGTAAGCTCTGGTAAAGCACGTTACAGATGCTTCAGAGTTCTTGTAACTCACAAAGCCCTTTATTTATTTATTTATTATTCCTTTTCTCAAAATTATCCAACAGTTAAGAAGGAAAAATATATTACCTGTTTTATTTTGGCTGATTTTGCTAWAAATGACCCACTATTTTTGTACTTTCTTCTCTTCTCTTGCTTCATGTACTATGTGTTGTTCACACGTGCTGAGGTCTAGAAAATTGCCAAGTTTTTGTCATTTGTATGTGATAACTACTTTGTGCCACATTTCATTTAATCTAATAGAAGATAGGAAATCACACTAYAAAGGGCAAGAGTATGAAAATTAACACAGCCCTCGGTATTGGGAAACAAGGGAGAAAACTGTATCCTGTGGCMTGGCCGACACAACAGGTCTGTTACCAGCAATGAGGCCATGGACAGTGACAACTTTTGTGTGTAGCACTAGGAAATTTTCCAAATGGCACGGTCACACGTATCAGCTCAATAAGTGGAAGGGCGTTGGACAGATGTAGAAATGAAATGATGGGGTTAGTGAGGCTGAAGAAGGAGGCTGTCAGAGTTGCTGCCGTGAACACTGAGCAGTAAGGAGCTAATTCTCCAAGTCAGGTGGAAAAGCAAAAAAGGTCAGTGATAGTAAAATTGTGATTTTACTCTTTCATTGTTGGTCCTCTCCTCCTTCCCTCCTCTACTCTCCTCTCCTCTTCCCTCCCACGCAGACACAAGTTTACTGCTGTAGACACTGTAATAGTTGGCATCTCTAAGTAAAACTGAGAACAACTTCTCACTTGTGTTCGTAACTATTAGGAATAATATAATTCCTTTGCTGCTAGAGTTATATCAACCAACAAAACCATTCAAATGAAAAAATTCGACAGTCATTAGTGATTTTTAGTTTTTTGACAGTCTTGAAATCCCTTTTACACAGGACTTGTTCTTTTTTTCTTTTTCTTTTTCTATCTCCAAAGTAATTTGTTAGGGTGGTCTGTAAATCAGACCATTCTAAAGTGTCTTGACTTAAGCTTTCCAATCACTAATCACTTTGAAAATATTAGCTATGTTACCCATTTGCAAGCTGCACAAATTGTTGTTCTTCAAATGCAGTCTAAACAAAACAAAGCATAAATTAGAAAAACACTTTTCCCATTGAATTAAGAAGCTGTCAACTAATCTGTCAACAGCTAATCTGTCAGTCTGATTTTCAGAGACACTACAAATAATCACATATGCACACATACAATCCTATATAATAAGTATATGTRTTTATTTGTTGAGCAGCACAATAATTAGGAAGCGGAACATGAAATGCATGCAATGTTAAATGAAAGGTTGTGCATWAAAATATTGGTATGTTCAGGTGAATAAATGTGGAAGAATATCTCCTTTACATGAACATCTTATTTATTGTGGCATTAATTCATACAGCTCCCTGTGACACTTGAAAACCACTTTGTTTAATAATGCATCTGAGGTTTCACATCAATTTAGATACTGTCTGAACATGAGCTGTGATATTGTCGGGGTCTAAAAGTGAGCTTGACCTACATAGCCATTTGTCCAAAGTTGTTAGGCCTAATATTAATAATTCACAGTAGAACAGTGCATTTCCACAAGGCCAGGGATAATTAAAGTAACCTCGCTTTCCTTTTGCAGTTTCTGCCATTCCTCTTTCTCCTTACCCATCCTGCTCCCTGAATAACCTGTGAATGCTGATGCCGTTGTCCAGAGAAATGCTTGTGTGCAAGTTTATTCACRGATTGTGAATATTTTTTGGAATGTTTTCAATTTCTTTCCTATTCAATTTAACTATAGTTTTTCCAGCAAGGGGCCAAATACATGTATATATTTATGTAAAATTGCAGCCACATTGGGATGAAATCTCTAAACTGGATGACCTACTCCTCCTGTTTCTTTCATTTTCTGTAACAGTTGTGGTCTAATTCTCTATATATTTTTTCCAGTGACAGTGCTTGCTGTGAGCAGTGGGGGTTGAACCCCTGAGGGGACATATCATATGTACATTGATGTATTTGAAGGAATTTCTTGTAATCTATAACAATTGACAAACTTTTGATTTATTTTTCCTCTTGCTGCCTTGGAACACGGCCCCTACTATATTTTAACTGCACACTGATAGTGATCTATTGTGAGTAAAAATGGGTTCCCTGTAGCCCAGAGTGCGGTCCAACCTGTCTTTCTCTAGCAGAGAGTATTTTTGTTCAATATTTTGGTTCTTTTCTTTATTTATGTTGCATGTAGCAGTGACGTCATACCCACAATTTTCTCATCCTTTACACTCACACAGATTAGGGCGACGTTGAAGAAAATACAGCAGTGTTCCCCTCTTCCACCCTTTTCAGCACATTTTTTTTTTCACCAACTTATTTTCATTCTAATTGAATATAAGACCTTGGCAGTGAAATTTCCTTGAACTGATTCTGAAGATATTTCATAAATTCTTAGGGACATCAGTTAGGCTGGCATAATCACCACTGTAGCACTGTTTGCCTGGTCAAGTGATATTGTCAGACCTGTGTTCAGTTTTCCATACTTTTGTCTCTTCCATTGCAAAACGGACACAGAGAGACAACACAGCAGTCTTTTCTGCCCTTATCTTACTCCTTTCTCCTTCCCACCAAAAAAAGAGAGGAAAGTCAGACAATTAGTTAACTGTCTTGTTAACTTCYGATATGCAAACCTACAACCATCCTTTCCCAGGAGACAAGCTACAGTGATTATTTTCCCCAGGCTGTAATAGTTTTGACTTGCTAATTGTGTGAGAAGATTGACACCATCTTTTCAGGAGCTTAACTGTAAGACTTTATACTTGTTACCCATACAATGAACTTTATAGACCACTTCACGTCAATMTGTCATACCACGTTAATTCAATGGTATCTATAGAGACTCTCAGTCAGAAATTCTTAGTGTGCACAGCCATCATAGTTTAAAAAAATGCAGCATTCGGGAGATGGAAAGTCTTTGCTTCKTAGAAACACAATCACTGCAAAAAAGATATTTGCTATAGGGCAACTATGGGTTTATATAGATTTGTTCTTTTGAACACCAGGAGTGATCAGATATTTCATATAGCTGCAATGAAACATTTCTGCAGCAAGTTGAGACTGCTAATCATCCAATATAACTGCAGCTACACTAAATAAGTGTGACTCAACTAAGTATTGCAAATTTGTTTTGTGATAACAGTTTAGACCTTAATCAGATCTAGGTACTCAGGCACAGAGTAATGGTGTCTTCAAAGATCTCGTCAGCCAACAGTTGTGATCGCTGTTTAATTTAATTTTAATAAAATTAATAATTTAATTAAATTTTCTTTTGGAGATGGTCAGTGGTGACAGAATTGACCACTTATT